GTAACATTCAACTTCTAAATATAAAATTTATGACTAAATGTCAACTGGCATTTAGCTGTCAATTTTTCCATATTTTTATTAAGCTGTCATAAAATGAAATTGGAATTTCCACATGTAAATAAAAAATAAAATAAAAGTTCAATTATTCATTCAATTTGTATTAGAACTTTGAACAGTTCCATAACAATTTACAATTCAAACTAACTTCAAATTGCCAAATCGATTGCATTTTCACTTTGACTTTATTTCAATGCAAGTGAATATACAAATAAATATACGTATAACCCAGTTTTTGTAACCTTTTGCTGCCTGCCTTTGCACGCCTAAAACATTCTAGAATATGAATACCAAAAATAACTTTTATGCATTAGCCAACATCTATATCTATATCTATATATATCTATGTATGTGTATATGAAAATGTTCAAAAATCCCTTGCAGAGTGCAAATCGCAAAACTTTACTTTTAACCGCTCTACTCTTTTACCATAACATTTGAACGTGTCAAAACTCATGCAAATATTTTCTCTTAACTGATTGTCCCACAAAAACATAAAAAAAAAATAAATCTGAAAAAATCGCATACAAACGCTCGTCCACATCGACATGGAATTTCAATATATATATATATACATTACACAACTATCTATATATATCTATATATATATATATATCCCTATATATATATATATGCATTGCTATCAAAAACTCAAACAAATTCGCTCCACCAAAAACTAAAAACTAACAACAAAAAAATCAATACATGAAAAAAAACACAAAAAATAACATCAAATAAAACCAACAACAAAAATCAAATTCAAATTCCACGCCACGCCCCCACTTCTGTTCATCAACAACACCGCCTCCTTTCGTTTCATACGTGTGCACCCACCAAAAAAATTGATTTCCCTTCCCATAAAAAACTGTATTGAACTGTGTGCTCCCCCCACTCACTCCCCCACAACCCAAAAAAACTTTAAACTGATGTGAAACTCAACCTAAAACAAAAAACAATTTAAATTCCTAAAAACAAAACCAAATGCTTTAAATTAAATTTGATTTCTTCAAATAAAACCAAAAAAA